AGACAAGAGTCCTTTTTAAATTTCTTGATATTATTTTTTAAAAAATCCCCCCACTTCCCTAAATCTTCCTCCAACCCCAAGTTCTCTCGTCTCAACCAATCCAGTGGATCTTCAAAGAGAAGCATTTTTCTCTTTCCTTTTTATCTTTTAAAAAGGAACTTAAAGTTCTGTCTCATATTTTTTCCTATTCTACCAGAATTTCTCCCTTGTTGCCTTGCTTATAATGGTTGGTGGAGGAGACTTGTCGTCATTTAGTTCTTCTGGTCTCAGAGTAGGTGAGGTCATGGTGCATGTAGACTATTTGTCCTGTAACTAGTACATTCTTTGAGCCTTTGTTGTATGTCTTTATTTTTCACTCTAGATGAGTACAGACCAATAATTATATTTTAGATGGCTATTGTGAAAAAGTTTCAAGATCCCAGACACTCCTTACCAAGCTGTTGCTATTGTTAGGTGTTGTTGAGTTGAGTATGATTTATAGCAACCCTGTGATGAACATCTCTGAGCCTTGCCCTATTTCACATCATCCTCACCATCTCTGAAACACTTAAGCCCGTTGTCACTGTAACTGTCTCGATTCACATTTCTAAGGATCTAGGATGTGGAATATAACTTTATAAATAATTTCATGCCAATTGACCAAGATACCCCAGGAGATAACAGTTCTAATCCTTGAAACCCAGAAACCCAGTGCCAACGAAGTGTTTAAGTGTGTCTAAGAAGTATTCATAACTGTACCCTTTGTGTGGCAAACAATATAGATGAATATAAGCTCATATAGTCGCATGGATACTTATGCATATGCATTTACCTATATAGATATCTGGGTGGCTGGCTGGGAGAGATTCATATTTATTTCTATTCTTCAAAAAAGTGATCCAGTCCATCCAGAATGTAGAAATTACCAAACATTATCATTAATATCACATGCATGTAAATCTTGCTGAAGATGATTCAAAACCAGTTAGAACAGTATGTCGACAAAGATATGCCAGAAATTTGAGCTGGGTTTAGGATAAGCTGTGGCATGAGGGATGTCCTTTTTTTAAATTAAATTTTATTAATTTTAATGAACATTTACAGAGATTTTGGGTTTCCATTC